CTTCAGTATCACATGATCCTTCAGAAATCATTCTAAAATGCTGATTTGCTGCTCAATAAATATTTATTAATATTACCCATGTTGAAAACAGTTGAGCAGCTTAATTTTTTTTAAATAATTCTTTGATAAATAGAAAGTTCAAAGGAACAGCATTTAGGCCTATTTGAAATAGAAATCTTCTATAGCATTATAAATGACTATACTGTAACTTTTAATCAATTTAATGCATCCTTGCTGAATATAAGTATTAGTTTATATTAAATACTTATTATAATATTAATAAAACAAAAAATATAAAGAGTGCTCTATTCTATATTTTCACACAGAGACATTAAATGAAAGAGTGGGGCCTGGAGAGTATGGTTAAAAAAAACTGTTTCTGAAATGTCTTGATTTTACTCCAGAAAGGATTCTCTTTCAGCTGTTTGATGATTTGGGAATTTAAAAAAGTAATATTTCTGCACCCTTCTTTTTATAGAGAAACGAAAAAAAAGAAAGAAAAAAAACCAGTACCGATGATTCGTACACTGTTTAATAACCCCTTAGGGTTTTTTTCCCCTCCTTTCTGTCTTCTCATTCCTTGAATTATTCAAGTCCCGTTTCTATTTTTCTTGCTTTGTTTTTCGGGGGAAGAGGGAGGAGAAGTTTTGAAAGTATTCATTAATATGTGCCATCCTCTGCTTTTTTTTTCTCTGCATCAGGCGTACTGTACTTACATGCTGTGTGTTCTAAAAAAAATGTTTCTATAATTTTATTTAGAATGCTTGTCCATCTTTTTATTTTATTTTCTAAAAGTTTTTTTTTTTACACCTAAACTTCAGGTATCATTTCATGGGTGAAAGTAGGACCGCTGTGTGATTGTGTTTTAAGTTTCTCAAAATGCTTGACAGAAAATATTGTGCTATACAGTATGTGCGATTTATTGTCAAATTTGCATTCGTTCACACCAGGGAAGCGTCTTTGCTCCATCCTACACAAAACAACCAAAAGAATCCACGTTCCAGTCATAAGGAGCTTTGGTGTTCCAGAATGGGCTTATCCAATAAGAGACACACTTCCAGCTGAGACCGTTTCCATTTTGAACCAACACAAAGGTAGTGCTAAGTTTCCACATTTCTTCTCCATCTTAATATTGTGCTACATTTCTGCTCTTGCAAAAAGTAGTGCTTTGTGATGTTTTCATTTGAAATCCAGTGACTCTGATTCCGATTTATTTCTGCACTTCGACTGTGGAGTTTGACAGTTGGCGTAATGCTAAGCAGACCGCAGAGGTTATCTTTGCTAACCTGCTGCTCTTTATAACCCATTCATTAGTTGTGTTGGCTGATGTAACTCCACATGGAGACTCGGAAAGCGAGAACGAGAGGGCAAATGAGGGAGAGAGAGGTGTGGTAATTATCTTGAGGGAATAACGATTTGTCTTGACATTTTCTTACTTGTCGCAAATTTCATCTGCTCAAAGATCCCTGAAGTCAGCATATTATATAAGCACAGATGGCAAGACTAGAGCATGCCATTTCAACCTTTGCAAGTAATCTGCACTAATGGGGAACACGGGCTGCCTCGTCCTCATGAAATATCTCCAAACGACCATAGCAATTAAAACTAGTTTTTCATCTCCTGTCTCATCTGCATTCGAGAAAGACTGAATATTACTCATATTTGGGAAAAGCAATATTGCATAATCAAGAGTGCTGTTTGGCAGCAGTTCTGCTGAAATTCGGTACTGTAGCGTGTTTGTGATATTGCTTTTAACAGTTTGGTAAACAAGAAGTTTTCTTTCTGACTAAATTTGACCATTTTTGTTCCACCAATGAAAATAATTCCTAAAGAAGCCAAGATACAAGAACTGGGAAAGTTCAAATGCAGTTGGACTGTATATTAGCACTCTTGGAACACCGGCTAATCAAATTTGAGGACTGGAACTAAATGTTTATAATATGAATTTTAAAATTCGGAATGTTTGGGATTTAGATAAAGTCTTTGGTGAAAGGAAGTGAGGTCATTGTAGCCTTGTCTTAAAAGGTTAGTATGATAAACCACACAGGTGAGACGGCTGTTTTAGTTTTGGAGTTGTTCTCTTCGCAATCACTCAGCTGTACACAAACCCTGCTTCATTTACAGTGCCTGTTTTGTTTTTGTTGCTCTTTTGTCTGATGCAGTCATCGACCGTTTCAACATTTTATCATTCCACTCTATTTCTGTCTCTATATGAGTGTTGGGTTTTTTTCATAGATGTTTACTGAGTCCTACTTATTGAAGCTGGAGAATTACACTCCAGAATCCCACTAAACTAACTATGTTTTGAACAGATTTATGTATTGCTCTTTAAAAAAAAAAAAGGAAAAAAGGAAACAAATCTTGAGAATGGCCTTACAGTCACATACAATTTATGTATTTTGAATATGTGCATTGTGAGGAGGATGTTCGTCACGTAGGAAAATTAATGGTGAACATGAATGGTGTTTTCTTCATGGCTTGACATGTTTGAAACTTTTGGACCCTGCCCTTGCCAGCACACACAATCCCATTGGTTAAAAAAGATGGCTATCACAAGAGAATCCTCCTTGCACCATTTAAGTTTTTTTTTTTTTTATATACATAAGATTGTACAAAGTAGTCCTCTACTGTTTTCATAGAGTGTCTTTTTATATGAAAATAAATTTTCAAAGTGATGAATGCCCTTGTAGGGTTTTTCCTATTTTGTCCCAAGTTCCATTGGTAAAGCTCAATTAGGAGAGAATGGCGATGGCTTTCACTTATTTTACTTTGTATTCCAGTGTTGTTTGAACTATTAATCTTAAATTTTGATATACATTTTCCACATTCATCTACTGCAAATTAAAGGAACTGAATCATGAACTGAGAAATCAAAATTCCCTTGATCTTTTGACATATAAGAGGTCATTGTACTACAAAAACATCCTGTAAGTTTCAGAACTCAAAATGTTCTCGTTAGTCTAAAAAAAGCTTATATTGAAGCCAATCTGCCAAAATGTCAGCTTGTGGAATGTGCCACTTTATGACATAATAGTATGGCTAAACACCGCCTCCTCGGAAGAAAATCAACGCCTGCTTTGACATTGCTGCCTGTTTAGCCCCGCCCACTGATTCACGCATGTAGTAGATGAATAACGACAGAGGCAAACACAGGTCTATGCAGAAACCATACGATAAAGATGCTCTGAAGACAACAAAAGACTGTTCAGTGCCAAGCTGTGGAAAAACACAGTCTTTGCATTGCCTTCCTTCTGATCTCAACATTGGGAAAGAGTTGATGAAGTTTATTTTTAATGAAGTTCCAGACCACATCAGTCAGAACTTGGTCTTTTTTTCACTTCATTTTATCACGGGTTCGTTTACAAACAAGGCACAATTCGACGCAGGATTTTCAGAAAGACTGAAACTAAAAGACGATTCTGTGACGAATATATTGGATCCGACTGTAATGTCGCACCAAATGTGAGTAACTGTTTTTATTACGTGGTCACTATTGTTTAGTCTGTTATTACAAATCGTTTGATATGTAGTGAGTAGAGCTGTGAATCTTTGGGTAGACAGCGTATCGATTCGATTCACAATTCATAGGTTTTCAATTCGATTTAAGAACGATTTTTGCAAATTCAGAATGATTCGATTCGATTCACAATTAAATTAGATTCGATGCTATTAACAATTCGATTCTGCATTCTTTAAGTGCATTCACAGGATTATTTAAATGCTTCCCCTAAATTCTTTAAATGCTTAGTCAGGGGGCAAATTACACAGCAGCCTTTATGGTTAGAGAACCATAGGTTAGAGGGGGGGGGAAACACTTTTGTCCATTGTTAGATGCTAGTTTAATGATGCTATGGCACGACATGGCATATGTAGAAATTTATGTAAGACATGTATTATATGTGTGTGTGTGTGTGTATGTCCACATCAATCTACACTCCATACACCATAATGGTAAAGCAAAAAACTGTTTTTTAACATATATATAAAAATTTTTTTATTTTTTTTAATTTTTTTACTAGTAATTATTTTCTTATCTTACTTT